CTTTGGAATCAGGTCAATCCGATCTGTATCGACAAAGTTATGACCATTTCTCCTGACGTGGAACTGAAATTTCTGCTTGTTTTGTGACGGAATCTCCGTGTGTATAAGTCACTCTCCCGATCCTATTGCTTGAGTAGTCGACACATTGGGCTATATCAAAAAGACCACGAAACTCTGCTCTTATTGATTAAGCCCATCACTTGTTGATAATAACAAAAAATTGATCATTTTTTATTGTAAACTGTATGTAAATCTTCGAGTGGGGCCGGACTTAGTTTGGGCCCATCACGTGAAACATGATGTGAATCCATGACTCATGAGGAAGAGCTAGGCCCACAAAGACTATGAAAGTAAGTCAAGAACCTATAGGTCGATAATAGAAAAAAAGAAGACGATAACTTAAAATAATTGAGGACGTTATAGCATGATAACTCCTTCCAATTGGATACGTGATTGCCACCTACTTTAATAATTGAGTTCAATCAAATTATTAAATTGAATAGCTTTGAACTAACAATAACATAGCTAGACCATTTGAAGGGGTGGAATTCAAAAGGAGGTGAAAAAGTTAAAGGACTTTATGATCGAGGCCCTCCACGTGATTAAGACAAATTGATTGGAAAAAAGAAAACTGGGGCAAAAGAAAGATAAAGCTGATTTTGATTTTGACGTTCACGAGTGTTTTAGGAGGTGAAGACTGGTTGACCAAAAACAGAGAGAAGACTCAAATTCATGAGTCGCATTACTTGTCACTTTTCTCCAGTAATTTTTAATGCAATATAGATTGGGCGGCCACTAACTTAGGTTTTAAAATAATTTCACTTTCTTTCTTGGGTTAATACCACAGAAAATCCCAAACTGATACATCTATAATAATTTTACCCTGAACTAATTTTTTGACCACCAAAAACTCCAAACAAGTACACTTGTGACAAATTTATCCTGAACTATTTTTTTGACCACCAAAAACCCCACATTGATATACCTATGATAATTTTACATCGAACTAATTTTTTGACCATCGAAAATCTTAAAGTGGTACACTAGAGGCCGCGAGCTCGCCGGCCGTCGTCGTGGCCGGCAACCGGCCTGAGGAAGAAGAAAAAGAAAAAGAAAGAAAAGAAAAATAAAAAGAAAAAAGAAAAGAAAAGAAAAGAATAAATAATAAACAATTCGATTTTTTAATTAAATATTTTTATAAAAACCATCGTTTCATTAATTACCAATCGAATCAAAAAACAGGGGAGGACTCTTTGAGTTGATGGAACCCAATCGAATCAAGAAACCAAACCTCTAGTAAGCACCTTTTAAATATGATGAATTACCTTTTCTTTTACATATGTTGTATCTAAGGAATTTCCAAAATTTTACCGGAAAAGACATAATATTTTTGAACTTTGAATTGAATTAACTCTTTGGCCACAAAAAAGAGAGAGGGAGAGAGAAAATTTTAAATTTTATCACTAAGGTCGTTTCACTTTCGCGTCAGTTTCTTTACTCTGCAAAAGCTCCTGAATTTGCCTTGCAAATTTTCTTGTCGACTCTCTCTCTCTCTCTCTCTCTCTCTCACGTCTCGACAGTGAAAAAGAAAATGAGCAAACCAAATACTCAATCCGGTCGCTTTCGGAAAACCTTCTAGAGCGAGAAACCAAGAACAAGACTAGAGTGACGGAGGTACTATAGAATCGGATTCGGACGGTGGCGAGGCAAGCGGCAAGGTTGAGAATAGAGGTTTTCCAAAGAATAAGATGCAAGAGATAAAATGCTCGACCTTTAAAATTGGACGACAAGATGATGAAGTCGACTTTTATTGGATATTTGAATATTTTTTTATACTTTTAAAAGTATTTTTACTTATTTATCGCGTTACTTTATAAATTAATTTTGTAGTCACTTATAGAATAATGAGGTTCACATTCATCCGAAGTTGCTTCCTATCTCTCATGCAGTCACTTCATTCTTCTCTTTATAAAACACTCATAATTGGCACATAAACTTAAATTTGTAAATAATTGAAAAGCAAGTAATTTGCATAGCCATCACTGTTTTGAATACTATCCACCCCTCCTTTCCTTTTCTATTTTTCTCGCCTCTCCATCTATTTACCCTCTATTTGATTCCTCGAATCGCATTTTCAGTTAAAATAAAAATATGAAGTATGCCGCATCTAATCCGTTTTAGACGATTCACATGTCCAAACAAGACGCGCAACTTGTGAGTGCACGGACCTTAGTATTTAAGGTAATAGCATCGTAGTTTTTGAGTTAAATTTGGTTCAAATATAAGTTGTAAGCCCTTTAACTGTGATTTGTGAAGGACATTTCTTACGTTCCAAACAAGTTAAGATGTGGAATGACTTGGAACTGAAATCCATTTTATGAATCTTTATCAATGGACTTGTGTCAACTGAAAGACCTGAGCAAGATGAGGAGGAGACTCATAAATCCACCCGAACTAACTTGTTGACAGAACATTGAGCATTTCACTAAACTCTTGTTTCAGTATTGGAGGCCTAAGGTTCCTTCAAGTACCCTACTCATATTCTTGTTGCTGCTTTGTTTTCTCTCCAAGATAGGGAAGTGTAAAAATTATTCGCGGAAAGAAATCCAAGCTCTCTTCACAGACCAATCACTACATCTTAAACGTATCGGAATTGAGTCAATCAAGTGTCGGATGGAAAAAATTATGAACAATCGAATTTTGGTCGCTTTTTAACAAAATATTATTTCGAAATAAAAGAATGCCACAACCTCTGGGGAAATATAGAGGTCCAAGAACCTTGATCCCACATAGTGTATATTTCCTCTCAACACCTCACTGATCTACACAACACGGTCAATTTCAATGAAGACTAGGAAAAGTAAGTCAAGCATGACCAACGATTCACACTTCCATATTCTGGGCTATTTCTTCGTTATCCCCAAGGCGTGCGCTAAACCGATTGACAAGGGAAAAGACTTTCATCTTGCAAATATATCGTCACTGAGACGGACCCATTCTCCGGAAAACGCGGTACAGCTGTAATAGGAATTGTGCTCGATAGAGGCTTCGGGGACTGATCGTCCAAATCTATATAAGTATAGTCATCAATCTTGTTAACAATATGCAGACCTGAACCATCTCCCACCTTTCAAAACCCAACCATCCCCTCCCCAAATCATGGTTTCCTTTATGCTGTCCAACCAGTCTCTTTTAGCGGTCTTCTTCTTCTTCTCAATCTTCTTGGTTGGCACTGCTTCATTTCATGGTGCAGGCGTTTCTGTTTCCTCCACTCCTTTTTCCACTGTCCCCGCGACCGAGAATAAGGATGAAGCTGAGGCTCTCTTGAATTGGAAATCTACTCTTGACAACCATAGCCAGTCTCTCCTCTCTTCATGGCACGGCGACAATCCTTGCGGCTTTACCGGTATCACTTGCGATGACTATGGAGCCATCGCCCATCTAAATCTTTCCTATCTCGGTTTGAGAGGAACTCTAGACGGCCTCGACTTCTCGCACTTAACTGGTGTGGTTAGCTTTGAACTTGCCAACAACTCGATGTATGGCTCCATTCCCTCAAGTATCGGTAACCTTTCCAAACTCAACTCTCTTGATCTTTGCTTAAATGAACTGTCCGGGGACATTCCTCCAAGTTTAGGTATGCTAGAGAGTCTTCATTATTTGCACCTATGTGCAAACAACCTAAGTGGACACATCCCTCAGGAGATTGGACAGTTGGATTCTCTTTTGGAACTTCAGTTATCCAGAAACAAGTTCACCGGTCCTATCCCTACTTCACTAGGGAACTTGAGCAACCTCATTCATCTTTATCTATGGAAAAATCAACTTTCAGGGCCCATTCCTGCTTCTCTTGGAAAATTAGGCAATTTAACCGAATTAAGCATTTCGCGCAATAATATTTCCGGTTCCATTCCGAGAGAGATAAGTGACTTGAGGAATTTGAAAATTCTTTACATGGGGCAAAATGGACTTTCGGGACCCATACCTTCAGAAATCGGGAGGCTCACTTCTCTTACAGAATTAGAATTTCCGGATAATAATTTGACCGGTCCTATCCCTGCTTCATTAGGGAACTTGAGCAACCTGATTCATCTTTATCTATGGAAAAATCAACTTTCAGGGCCCATTCCTGCTTCTCTTGGAAAATTAGGCAATTTAACAGAATTAATCATTTCGCGCAATAATATTTCCGGTTCCATTCCGAGAGAGATAAGTGACTTGAGGAATTTGAAAATTCTTTACATGGGGCAAAATGGACTTTCGGGACCCATACCTTTAGAAATCAGGAGGCTCACTTCTCTTACAGAATTAGAATTTCTGGATAATAATTTGACTGGTCCTATCCCTGCTTCATTAGGGAACTTGAGCAACCTGATTCATCTTTATCTATGGAAAAATCAACTTTCAGGGACCATTCCTGCTTCTCTTGGAAAATTAGGCAATTTAACCGAATTAAGCATTTGGCGCAATAATATTTCCGGCTCCATTCCGAGAGAGATAAGTGACTTGAGGAATTTGAAAATTCTTTACATGGGGCAAAATGGACTTTCGGGACCCATACCTTCAGAAATCGGGAGGCTCACTTCTCTTACAGAATTAGAATTTCCGGATAATAAATTGACTGGTCCTATCCCTGCTTCACTAGGGAACTTAAGCAGCCTAATTCATCTTTATCTATGGAAAAATCAACTTTCAGGGCCCATTCCTGCTTCTCTTGGAAAATTAGGCAATTTAACCGAATTAAGCATTTGGCGCAATAATATTTCCGGCTCCATTCCGAGAGAGATAAGTGACTTGAGGAATTTGAAAATTCTTTACATATGGCAAAATGGACTTTCGGGACCCATACCTTCAGAAATCGGGAGGCTCACTTCTCTTATTGAACTTAATCTATCAAAAAACAAACTCTCTGGCTCAATTCCTCGTTCCATCGGCAACTTGACAAGTTTATCTCTTCTTGTCCTCTCTCAAAATGGACTTGCAGGACCGATAAGGCTCACTTCTCTTAGAAATTTAATTTTTCGAGAAAATAATTTGACCGGTCAAATCCCTGCATCAATTGGAAGCCTGGCCAATCTAACTCGACTGGACCTTGCCGACAATAAATTATTTGGTTCATTGCCTTTTGAATTCAATAAGTTAACACGGTTGACACATTTGCTGCTATATCATAATGAACTAGAGGGGGAACTACCAGAAGATGTCTGTATTGGGAGATCATTGCAATATTTCTCCATCTCCAATAATCATTTCACGGGTCCCATCCCCACGAGCCTAGAGAACTGTAGCACATTAATCAGATTGAGGCTTAATGGAAACCAACTTACTGGAAACATAGCAGATGCTTTCGGAATATATCCGCATCTATATTTTATGGACTTGAGCCATAATCATTTGAGAGGCGAACTTTCGTGGAAATGGGAGCATTGTCGTAATTTGACGAGCTTAAGGATATCAAACAACGACCTCTCTGGTGAGATACCTGCAATATTTGGAAGGATGGGTCAATTACAGTTACTGGACCTTTCTTCAAATACTTTAAGTGGAGAGATTCCGAGGGAAATGGGAAGCCTATCCATGTTGTTCGAGCTCGACCTAAGCAGCAATGCGATCATGGGAAATGTCTCGACTGAGATTGGACTTTTATCCCATCTGGCACATCTAAACTTAGCATCAAACAATTTGAGTGGATCGATACCGGTGCAACTAGGCTCATGCAAAAGCTTGTTGACCTTGAACTTGAGCAGGAACAAATTTTGGAGAAGCATTCCTCCTGAGATAGGCAACACACAAGTCCTCGAGGTTCTTGATCTGAGTTATAATATTTTGTCAAAAAATATACCAGGAGAGCTTGCAATATTGAGAAACTTGCAAGTTCTAAATATCTCCCACAATAGCCTGTCTGGTTCCATCCCCCATACTTTTGGTGATATGTTGGCCTTGACTTCTATTGATGTATCCTACAATGACCTAGAAGGTCCTCTCCCTAATGTCAAAGCTTTCAATGAGGCTCCATTTGAGTCAATTCAGCATAACAAAGGGCTTTGTGGAAATGTTGTTGGTTTACCGAGCTGCAATTCTACCGGAAGCATGAAACGTGATCAGCATACTGGAGCTAGAATCACAGTTATCCTTATTATCTCGTTCTCAGGGTTTCTCTTTCTCTCTTGCACCTTGATTGTTCTTGTCATCGTCAATCATCGTCAAAGAAGGATTATGAAGAGAGAGAATAATGAACAGGCAAATGATTTGGATTTCATGAGTATTTTGAGTTATGATGGAAAAGTTTTCTATGATCGAATCATTGAGGCCACGGAAGGATTTGACTCCAAGTACTATGTGGGTGAAGGAGCATATGGAATTGTTTATAAAGCCGAGATATCTGAAGGTCAAACTTTTGCTATCAAGAAAATTTTGTCATCCCAGGAAGATACTGAGATCGTTGATTTGATACCATTTGAGAGGGAAATTCAAGCCTTGACAAATATACGCCATCGCAACATCGTGAAATTTTATGGCTTCTGCTCTCATGCCCAACGTTGTTTTTTGGTGTATGAGTATATGGAAAGAGGAAGCTTGAGAACAATTTTGAATGATGATCAGAGAGCAAGAGAATTTCAATGGGACAAGAGGATAAATGTGGTCCGGGGAGTTGCGGATGCATTGTCCTATATGCATCACGAATGTTCTCATCCGTTGATTCATCGAGACTTGACTAGTAACAACATTCTATTGGATCGTGATTATAAGGCTCATGTTTCCGATTTTGGCACTGCAAGACTGTTGAGGCCAGATTCGTCAAACTGGACGGCTATTGCTGGTACCATCGGGTATATTGCTCCAGGTACTTCTCAATTTTTTGTTCAATTTGGATGGCATTCAATGTCATGCTTCTATAATTGAACTTTTACTAGTTTAGTGCAGCTCATTAGTTATTTAATCATCTTATGGAAATTTGTTATACTTATTTAGAGGTTTCAAGTTTGGTACTGATGAAAAAGCTTTTCGATTTTCCTCATATGTAAGAATTGGCAAAAGAGGAAAACATCATAATCAATCCATTTCAAGGATATTAAGTTCATGTTATCTAGAAGATGCTCATATTTTATGTGTCGAAGAAAAAATTTTGAACTTTGCCAAAGCATAAACTCCCATACTCAAATCAGTGTTGTAAGTATAGATTAAGCAGAAATATGTACTTGTGCTCATCACACGTCACGTCATGGGAAGTAATGTTGTCAAGTTGAATACAACTTTTGATCAAGATTAAAAAAAACAGTGGATTCTCTACTTGCAGAGCTGGCTTATTCTATAGTTCCTACCGAAAAATGCGATGTGTATAGCTTTGGAGTCGTCGCTTTAGAGACAATCATGGGAAAGCATCCAGGAGATCATGTCTCTCGAGAATGTTCATCGCCCGCCCAAACTAAGTCGATGATGTTGAATGATGTGTTGGATCAACGTCTCTCGCCTTCTAGACTTGGCCTTCAAGATGCGCGGGACGTGGTCTTGATCGCCAAGCTAGCTTTCAAGTGCTTGCAAGCTGATTCGAGGCTTCGACCGACCATGGGACAAGTCTCACGTGAGCTTTGCTTTCAAGTACCCCTGGATATGCCACTTTCTGCTGTCAGCTTAAACCAACTACGCGATCTTAATTAAAAAAAATTAGGAGCATTTCAGGAGATGGTAAGATTTGAAGTTTTCATATGCTATTGTGTTTGGTTTTCAATTATGATGATGATCGCCTTTTGAATATTTTCTTAGTTCTCACTAATCACAACCATGTGATTTCTGATTTTCACTACAGAGCTAGCTTCTCTATGAACATTACAAGAATAGTGTGATGTTTAGAGTTTGGAGTTGCGGTGCCAGAAAGAATTATGGGAAGACTTCTAGGAAGATCCCATTTCACAATTATTTCCATCCTTTTGCAGAGTGATCAGGAAGTGAATTTGCAAAATGCACTAGATCAACATCTCTTGCCTTCTCTGATTGAGATGTAAAGAACATGTAGTTTCTATTGCTGTAAGCGATAATGGTGCTAGCAATATGTAAACTTTTATTGATGTGCAATGTCGTATTTGAACTTTCAATTGATTCAATTAAATCAATTTTGAGTAATGTGCGCTATCGTCCCGAAACTTTCAGTTGGTCCAATTAAATCCCTAATATATTTTAATATGTTTATGTCATCCTTTCATAAATTAATTTAAATGAAATACAGCATGTACACCAATTAAATAAAGCTGGTGTTTAAATGAAACATTGCTTAGAAGTATTAATTTGAAATCTAGTGTTGATTTTTTATCCTCTCACATAGGATACAACTAATAGTTTATGGAACTCTTATTTGCGCATGCGAGATCTCGCCGGGGTCCCTGACCCGCATCGTGTTGCCTAGGGAGCAGCCGCCACAGCAGTGGCCACAGGCGACAAAGGTTGCAATGTTTCAATTTTTGTTGTTTTCCTTTGTGGAAATTCGTATGTCTTTTATATTTATTTTATTTTATTTTTAATAAGTTTTTATTTTCCATTTCTTTATTTTTAAATGTATTTATCGTGTTTAAAATTTATTAGAAAAATTTTCTGACAAATTAAGAATTAAAAGCTACGTAGAATGACACGGCAGCAAATCACGACAAATTGACAGTTACGTCAGCATTTCCGTTCACTTGTATAACGGAATGATCAATCCCAAAAAAGGAAAAAGTACGTATAGATGAGGGACTATATTAATCAAACAAAAAGTATAAGAACAATATTGAGCAAATCGAACTATAAGTACAAACCGTGTCGAAATTTAATCGACGACGAAGCATGAATATACAGCCACTTTCACAGGAACACACGTACACAAAAATGTAATGTCGGAATTTAATTGACGACGCAACACCCGGGATAGATATACAAGCCGGGATTTAATCGATGATGCGAATCGAAAAGCTACAGCTAAGGAAAAATAAAGTGTAGTACAGTAAAGCAATGATAATTCAAAGATAAAATTTTATTTGATTTGTCTGGGGACTTTCCAAAGAGCACGATGTGGCTATTTAAAGCCTACAATTGACAGTTATCAACGGAGGTTACAAACGGTTACTAACGGAGGTTACAAACAGTTACAAATAGAGGTTACGGACGATTACTAGCAGAGATTACAAATGGCTATTAACCGAGGTTACAAACAGTTACCAACGGTTACGTTGTGTCCACTACCTTGGCGGTTTATTCGACTCCACTATGTTGACGGTTACTTCTTCGATAGTTTTATCTGAGATTGTCGACTCCACTTTTTGTCGATTCCTTCAAGTTAGCGATTCTTCACTGAAGTTCTTATCCTTTTTCTGCATCCTGACGAGTTACGACCGTCCACTTTCTTCCAAAATCGACAACTTCACAGTGCTTTCTTGAGAAAACTCAAAGCATAAAAGTTGTAGATTCAGAGGTTTTCATTCTCTTGACTTTGGAATCAGGTCAGTCCAATCTTTATCGACAAAGTTATGACTATTTTCCCGAAATAGCGCAGAACTGAAATTTCCGCATCCTGCCCAGTCACGACCATCCACTTCCTTCCAAAATCAACAACTCTACAGTGATTTTCTGAGAAAATTCAAAACTTAAAAGTTGTAGATCCAGGAGTCTTCGTTATTTTAGCTTTGGAATCAGGTCAATCCGATATGTATCGACAAAGTTATGACCAGTTCTCCTGGCGTGGAACTGAAATTTCTGCTCGTTTTGTGACGGAGTCTCCGTGTGTATAAGTCACTCTCCCGATCCTATTGCTCGAGTAGTCGACACTTTGGGCTACATCAAAAAGACCACGAAACTCTGCTCTTATTGATTAAGCCCATCACTTGTTGATAATAACAAAAAATTGGTCATTTTTTATTGTAAACTGTATGTAAATCTTCGAGTGGGGCTGGACTTAGTTTGGGCCCATCACGTGAAACACGATGTGAATCCATGACTCATGAGGAAGAGCTAGGCCCACAAAGACTGCGAAAGTAAGTCAAGAACCTATAGGTCGGTAATAGGAAAAAAGAAGACGATAACTTAAAATAATTGAGGACGTTATAGCATGATAACTCCTTCCGATTGGATACGTGATTGCCACCTACTTTAATAATTGAGTTCAATCAAATTATTAAATTGAATAGCTTTGAACTAACAATAACATAGCTAGACCATTTGAAGGGGTGGAATTCAAAAGGAGCTGAAAAAGTTAAAGGACTTTATGATCGAGGCCCTCCACGTCATTAAGACAAATTGATTGGAAAAAAGAAAACTGGGGCTAAAGAAAGATAAAGCTGATTTTGATTTTGACGTTCACGAGTGTTTGAGGAGGTGAAGACTGGTTGACCAAAAACAGAGAGAAGACCCAAATTCATGAGTCGCATTACTTGTCACTTTTCTCAAGTAATTTTTAATGCAATATAGATTGGGCGGCCACTAACTTAGGTTTTAAAATAATTTTCACTTTCTTTCTTGGGTTAATACCATAAAAAATCCTAAACTGATACATCTATGATAATTTCACCCTGAACTAATTTTTTTACAATAAAAAGCTCCAAACTGGTACACCTGTGACAAATTTATCCAGAACTATTTTTTTGACCACCAAAAACCCCACATTGATATACCTATGATAATTTTACCGCGAACTAATTTTTTGACCACCGAAAACCCTAAACTGGTACACTAGAGGCCACGAGCTCGTCGGCCGTCGCTGTGGCCGGCAACCGGCCTAAGGAAGAAAAAATGGAAAAAGGAGGATAAGAAAAAGAAAAGAAAAGAAAAGAAAAAATAATAAATAATTCTATTTTTTAAAAAAATAAAAAATGATTTTTTAAAATAAATAAAATTTTGATTTTTTTTAATTAAATATTTTTATAAAAACCATCGTTTCATTAATTAAGGACAAGAGCCCGAGCGCTGAGGACTTGCGCACGGCCTTTGTGGATTCGGGCAGTCGAGTGTTAAATTATTGGTGACTTCCAGAATCTCACCAATAATTGTCCATTTGTATAATCGTTCGAGCCTTAAAGGGCCACGCTTGTAAAATTTAGAGGCATGATCTGCCATCAGAAAAAAAGCCTCGATAAATAAACTTGTGTTATGAATCCCTAAATCTTTGCTTCTGCCTTTCTGCCTGGTATGATTCTCTAAACAAACATACGTGCATTGATTAGTCCTGATGGTATGCTCTGCACTTGCCATGGTATGGAACCTGTGCATTAGAATTCTGCTACTATAAGGTGCGAACCAAAATTCAGAGAAGGGCTTGGTGGCTAAAATGCAGTCCCTTTTTAAAAAAAAGGCTTGAAGAGCCGTTTGTGTTTGGGATAGTATACCTACCACGAGCCTTGTCTTCATCTTCCCTGATTTGCATCTTAACACCTCTTTATGGTATCAGAGCTAGAGCTAGAGCTCGAGTATTGGGGACCTGAGCACGTCATTTATGGACCCAAGTTTGGGTGTCGGAGGATCGGTTATAGGCACCAGGAGTTCGGGCTCAGCTTCGATGGACCCGGGCGAGGGTGCTGAGGGCCCAAGCCCTAGACACCGAGGTCTCGAGCCCGGCTGCCAAGACCTGGTCCTCAATATCAGGACTCGGGAACCAACGTTAGGGTTTTCGTGCTCAAGTATAGAGTTTTGGGTTCAAGTGCCGATAGCTAATTATACTTCGGAAAATGTTTTCTGGTTCTCTCAAAGGAGAAATCATTTTCCTAAATTTAAGTTTTAGAAAGGAAACATTTTCCGTTGACTAGAAAAACATTTTCCGTTGACTCATTTTTCTAAGCAAACCAAACACCGAAAAATGAGGAAAGTGTTTTCCTGAAAAATGTTTTCCGCGAAACAAACGCACCCCTAGTGTTGATTTTTATCCTCTCACTTAGAATAGAACTAATAGTTTATGGAACTATTATTTGCGCACGTGAGATCTCACCAGGGTCCCTGACCCGCGTCGTGTTGCCTACGGGCAGCCGCGACAGTGGCCACAAGCGACAAAGGTTGCAATGTTTTAATTTTTGTTGTTTTCCTTTTTTGAAGGTCGTATGTCTTTGATATTTATTTTATTTTATTTTCAGTAAGTTTTTATTTACCTTTTCTTTATTTTTAAATATATTTATTGGATTTTGAATTTATTAGAAAAAATTTCCGACAAATTAAGAATTAAAAGCTGTGTAGGATGACACGGCGGCAAATCACGACAAATTAACGGTTACATCAGCATTTCCGTTTACTTGTATAATGGGATGATCAATCCCAAAAAAGGAAAAAATACGTATAGATGAGGGATTACATTAATCAAACAAAAAGTATGGGAACAATATTGCGAAAATTGAAAAGGAACATAAACTACCGATGCCTTTTGTTTTTTACTATTCATGAATAAGAACCTTTAGCATAAGATTTTGATACTACTCTTCAAAATCTTTGTTGAATATTATTATAGAAGACAAATGCGTGCGAAATTATTCGTCCTAAAAGAAAACTCATACATGTTAAGTTAGAGGCTGACGTAGTTGGATAAAAAAGACTATGAAGCAAAAAAATCAATTCAATCAGTTTGGCCAAAATAAAAAGTAAAGGTCAGTATGGATTTACACCGATCAAGGTCAATTACCCGAACACCATATCAAAACGAAAAATATCGATCGGATCCATAATCAACCAGGCCCTTGATCGGATCCATAAGTCCGTGCCTGAATGGCGCCCGGCGAAGCGGACCATTTGAACGCCAATCGAGCCATTTCTCAATGCACTTCTCGTAGTACGTGTGATTGCAGCCATTGAGCACCCAACTCTTGTCTCCTCTCTTGAAAGATCCGCAGCAGATCACGCACTCCTCGCAATCGATGTCCCTGATTTTTGTCGCAACGATATACCACGGCCTCACCATGGGAGGCACTTGTGGGAGCCATTCTACGCCGTGAGAGTCGCTAGTTGAAGCTCGACGGAACAAGCGCTAGTCGCCGCCCGATGCCTCGTCCCAAGGGCAATTTTTGGAGAAGAAGAAACAGGCGAAGCATGGTCGCTCATTAAGAAATTGTAAACAACCGATGGTAGGTGTTGATTTTCAACATAGCCTTCACTATCTAACAAGTGAATGAATCATTCCCTAATTCTTCTTATAGGAATGAATAATCCGCTATTTTCTGATTTGTTAGG